CTGCATCTAATCAAGTACCTCTTATCAACCTGGTCTGCCACATGCTGGAATAACTGATTGGATACTAATTGGAAAAGCCCAGGATCTGTTTTATTGCCCAAAATGGTGTGTGTTTTGCCAGAAGATGTTTGGCCATATGCAAATATTGTGGCATTGAAACCTTCCATGAAGGAATCGACTAAAGGTTTTACTACAGATCCATATACATCTGAATTTGTACATTCCTGCTTAAATACATGGTCGAATATATAAACCTCTCCATGGCGACTACTTTCATCGGCTTCCCATATGCAGTTTACTCTTACGTTCCAAAGACGCTCTAGACCATCGGCTACTTCGCGGTGGATCATTGGTCTGATCTTTGTGGCTACTTTAATATTGTCGGAAGTCATTTTGGAAGCTTGAACTGAAATTTAATTAGAACTAGGGCTATTTCACGGGTTATAAAGAGGGGCACTTTTCATAATCCAGATTTCGTTTTGGCATTCCAGTTCAGCCATTTGATCCTGAAGCTCTTTTATAGTAGAATCATTATGGCATCGTATATCTGAGATTTTAAATGAGTGGTTGACCTCACGTTGGTTACTCTCGTCCATCAGACTCTTTACGTCATTTCTCAGTTTAGATTCAAGTTCTTTTAGGAAGCCAATTTCATCTTGCAGTTCAGCAATGTGTGACATCGTTACATCAGTTTGTGTAGCAGCACTTAAAGAATCTTGCATATCTTCGTACTCAGCGTCAAGCATAGCTTCTAAGTCTGCAACCTTCTTTTTTGACTCAATATTTTGAGCTTCAAGAGATGGTTTAGGGCTCTCTGATCTTCCTAGGTTCTTCAGTTGAGTACGCAGCATCTCTATTTCTGACTCGTATGTTTTTAGTCTTTTATTAGTTTTTTCCAGAAAATCGAGTCTGTATTGCAAGTCGATGAATTCTTGCGCTTTTTGAGAATTTTTTTGAACTCTTTCTATTTCTTCGTTGTACGCATCCGTTACTTGGCGGAGTTTCTGACTGTAACGATCGATTTTAGAATTGGCTTCTGTGAGCTGTTTCTTCAGGTCCAAAATCTCCAGCTGATTATCTAGTTTAGTGAATTCTCTAAGCTCATTGAAAGATTCTTCCAGTTCTTTGCGTTGTCTTTTAAGTACACTTGCACGTCTTCAGCTATCACAGATTCTGCTTCGGCTAGTGCCTCCTCATATGTCTCTTCTTGAATAGGCCCTCATTTCACGTCCGGATGATTCTTCTTCGGGTGGATAATTTTTCAATGGCATATACCGTAGGGATGCTTTTTTAGGTGATACGTTGCCATAGTCTCCAAAAGTATGACGTCTTAATGTTTTTTTCGGTGTTGATGCCGAGGCTCCATTTGGAAGCGCCCGACAATAGATACTTCCGTTTTTAGTCTTTCTATCTCGAGCAGATACTCTTGTTTGCTTTTCTCCATCTCTTCTAGCTTAATTGCCTGCTTTTTGAGCCGAGTTTCGAGATCGCGAGTCAAGTTCTGATATCCTTGAAGTGCCTCTTCTGTAGCTGACAAGATGTTTGCTTTCGGTTTATTTTTGACAGTGTTAGTGCTTTGGGCGAATTCTAGTGTAGATCTAGTCTCCTCCTCTGCAGCTGAAGTAACATTCCCGATAATCAATGATTTGGCATTACTGCCAAGAGCCTGTGAGAGCAGTCTAGTCAATTTCGAATCGCGATAACTGATAAACTCCTTCCCCTCGCTTAGTTGCCTTATCACATTTCCTAATACTGACAAAGATTTGTTTATGTTAGCCCCCTCTTTAAGATGCTCACCAGCAGCTTTCGTCAGAGAAACTCTCTCAGAACCAGCTAAGTCCATTGAGTTAAGGTAGCTTATATGTACAGGTCCATCTTTCTGATTGGCATCTTTCGACTCCAGAATAATCCGGAAAATCGTGTGTGATCGAGATGACCTCTCATTCATGCGAATAGCTGCAACTCGTCTGATCTTATTGCCCTACATCATGTTCTCCATAACTTGATCAACATTGTCTACGACAGCTTCCCTTGCATCAACAGCACATTTCCTTTGATATCTTCCCTTATAGTTAACCTGATTGCTCTTATCCAGGAGGTCATTGATCTTTCATTGTAGATTTCAATATAACTGAATCTAATCAAGTACCTCTTATCAACCTGGTCTGCCACATGCTGGAATACGATTGGATACTAATTGGAAAAGCCCAGGATCTGTTTTATTGCCCAAAATGGTGTGTGTTTTGCCAGAAGATGTTTGGCCATATGCAAATATTGTTGCATTGAAACCTTCCATGAAGGAATCGACTAAAGGTTTTACTACAGATCCATATACATCTGAATTTGTACATTCCTGGTTAAATACATGGTCGAATATATAAACCTCTCCATGGCGACTACTTTCATCGGCTTCCCAAATGCAGTTTTCTCTTACGTTCCAAAGACGCTCTAGACCATCGGCTACTTCGCGGTGGATCATTGGTCTGATCTTTATGGCTATTTTAATATTGTCGGAAGTCATTTTGGAAGCTTGAACTGAAATTTAATTAGAACTAGGGCTATTTCACGGGTTATAAAGAGGGGCAGATGTATCAGGTTGATACATTCTTTTTTTCCTCCTTTCCAGTATAGAAGATTTTTTTCTCTTGTAGGCTATGAATGCGGTCCGATAGTTTAGTAGAGCTACATTTACAGGGTGACTCAAAATCAAAGAAGAAACAGAATTGTTAAATTTCATATAGACTGTTATTGTTATTACAAAAAGAAGTTGAAGCAGAAGCAAATTCTCACAATCTATAGATCCATCACTTTCAGCACCCGATTTTTCAACTTGAAAAATGCAGCTCGGTGAAGAATCACAAGGTAACTGTTGTCTATTCAGACAATACTCTTCTAAAAGCAACGCGAAGTTACCTAGTGCCTTACATGAATCGCCTTCATAATTCTTCATTATTGACAATGGAAAACTGAAATTGTTGATTATTACAGTTTTTAATGCTGCAAATAAGCAGATGGTGTTCGTGTTGGAAATCCCAAGTCTAATCTCGCAAAACAGGTTATCCACGGATCTTACTATCAACTTCTGAAATGCCATTACTGTTTTTAGCCATGTGTACAACAGGTTTGTACGCATAAACGCTCAGGGGAACAATAAAATTTCGTCGCCTAATAGAACTTTCAGTCCAGACTGAAAAAAAAAAGGAATTTACAGAAGCTGGTTGGATACCAAATAGCACAAGGCCATCTTCTCGTTCTCTAACCAGTATTGTAATTTACACACTTCCGATCTAATGCATTACCCCCCGCCTTCATAGTGTTATAAAAATAATATAGAATCTTATCAGGTTTCTTTGATTCCTCTACTATTTTGTTATCATGCTGCATAGATTGCTATACGAGAACATGTGTATTTGTTTTGGAAGATACTACACTAAGGCTGTAGTGCTAGTGAACATAAACTTAGAAGTACCTGGCTGTGTTTCCTTCTTATTTGGAACTACATGTTGGGGTACTTGTTACTTATTTTTACGCTTCCTGCCGACATTGGTCAGTTGGTTGATGCGCAATTCTACATGTAATTCTACTGGTGTGATATTTCTGTTCGTATAGACGAAAGCATTGAGCAGGTAGTGGTGAGTCTTTGCATCATCAGTCCATACTTATTCGGTTTAGTTTTCTTGTAGGCACAGGAAGGACATCGGCCCACGAGCATCTCGTATTTTGTAGGGGACTCACCCGAAATATAAAAATTTCGACAGTTCTCTATGAGTGTCTCGAAAATTTCACGTATTTGGAGAAATTTATCTGCATTTTCTCGAGTCACAGGGTTATTATTTTCCAAATTGGTTGCCACGGACTTTAGTTCAGGTAAATGCGTAATAATATTGTCGTCTGGATCGACCAGTTGCAGGCGCTTGTTTTGACCAATTGTACATGTTTTTTCTATAAGCATAGCGAGGTCGCCCATAGGAAGTTGTTCAGGTTGATCGCTAACAGCGTCGTCCTCGGCGTGGTGTATTGTTCATCCGCCAACAACGAAAAAATCCATTGTGAAGGAAGTTCAAATCGTACACGCAACTGACATCCTCGGATCAAATTTGACCGCAAAGTCAACAAACCAACACTTGTGATGTTTAAATTAAACTGTGGTTTGAGGTATACGTGCTTATACCGTATGAGAAGTCACGGGACCCCCCACCACATAACTGAGAAAGCTCGAATCACCCGACGATACCATTAAAGGATTAATTTCTATATTCTTAAACGAATCTATAAAATCAAAGTGGCTGGGTTTCAATTTACATAGCTCTTTGTATGGTCTTGTTTGCTGATCAACATTATTTGCTTTCTAGACATGTTCAAGCTGTGCAGCTTCTTCACTTTCATATTAATGTCAATAAGAGCATTTCATCCATTTTTGAATAAATGTGGTTCATCAAAAATTGTAGAAATACTCTGAGCATTGCTATAAAATGGAATGGACTTGATCCGTGAGTATTCTCCGAGCAAATCGTCTCAAGTGCGTTTTTGATCGTTGCGCCCTGATTACAAATAGTGCCAACGACGCACAAACCAAGTCGCTGCAAGTTTGTGATCACATGAACAATAATCGTTTTCAGATCTGGGATTCTTGTATCTTTTACTAGATAATAAGCCACAACCTGCTTATAATTTTTACGAATTCCTCTTATCATGGAAGTAAGGGCATGATTTCTGATAAATCACTTTTACAGAGTTCTAGTTGATTTTGTTACCTCAGAATTCAAGATTTATTAGCTGAAAATTGTACACTGTGAGCGGTTACCAAGACTAGATTCACAATCTTAAGTCCTAGGTGCTATCGTGGTCCGTGGGATCAGCCCTAAACTTTGTCCATACCCTGCAATAATCGTAAACACTAAACAAGGGTAGACATATTTCTAGTTTAACTGCCTGAAGATTTTCTCTATGGTTTATACGTAACTCTCCACCTATTATCTCATTTTTGTACATGTTCTGGGAGAACTCAACTTGCTCCCTATAAAATGCAACGTCTTCCTGCACAGGTGGTTCTGGTTAAGTGCCAGCCAGCTTCGGGTTTGTAATTAGTTGTTGCAATTTTCTGATTTCGTCGTCATTTTTCATAATCCAGATTTCGTTTTGGCATTCCAGTTCAGCCATTTGATCCTGAAGCTCTTTTATAGTAGAATCATTATGGCATCGTATATCTGAGACTTTAAATGAGTGGTTGACCTCACGTTGATTACTCTCGTCCATCAGACTCTTTACGTCATTTCTCAGTTTAGATTCAAGTTCTTTTAGGAAGCCAATTTCATCTTGCAGTTCAGCAATCTGTGACATCGTTACATCAGTTTGTGTAGCAGCACTTAAAGAATCTTGCATATCTTCATACTCAGCGTCAAGCGTAGCTTCTAAGCCTGCAACCTTCTTTTTTGACTCAATATTTTGAGCTTCAAGAGATAGTTAAGGGCTCTCTGATCTTCCTAGGTTCTTCAGTTGAGTACGCAGCATCTCTATTTCTGACTCGTATGTTTTTAGTCTTTTTATAATGTTTTTCCAGAAAATCGAGTCTGTATTGCAAGTCGATGAAATTCTTGCGCTTTTTGAGAATTTTTTTGAACCCTTTCTATTTCTTCGTTGTACGCATCCGTTACTTGGCGGAGTTCCTGACTGTAACGATCGATTTTAGAATTGGCTTCTGTGAGCTGTTTCTTCAGGTCCAAAATCTCCAGCTGATTATCTAGTTTAGTGAATTCTCTAAGCTCATTGAAAGATTCTTCCAGTTCTTTGAGTTGTCTTTTAAGTACACTTGCAGGCACGTCTTCAGCTATCACAGATTCTGCTTCGGCTAGTGCCTCCTCATATGTCTCTTCTTGAATAGGCCTCATTTCACGTCCGGATGATTCTTCTTTGGGTGGATAATTTTTCAATGGCATATACCGTACGGATGCTTTTTTAGGTGATACGTTGCCATAGTCTCCAAAAGTATGACGTCTTAATGTTTTTTTCGGTGTTGATGACGAGGCTCCCATTTGAAAGCGCCCGACAATAGATACTTCCGTTTTTAGTCTTTCTATCTCGAGCAGATACTCTTGTTTGCTTTTCTCCATCTCTTCTAGCTTAATTGCCTGATTTTTGAGCCGAGTTTCGAGATCGCGAGTCAAGTTCTGATATCCTTGAAGTGCTTCTTCTGTAGCTGACAAGATGTTTACTTTCGGTTTATTTTTGACAGTTTTAGTGCTTTGGGCGAATTCTGGTGTAGATCTAGTCTCCTCTGCAGCTAAAGTAACATTTCCGATAATCAATGATTTGGCATTACCGCCAAGAGCCTGTGAGAGCAGTCTAGTCAATTTCGAATCGCGATAACTGATAAACTCCTTCCCCTCGCTTAGTTGCCTTATCACATTTCCTAATACTGACAAAGATTTGTTTATGTTAGCCCCCTCTTTAAGACGCTCACCAGCAGCTTTCGTCAGAGAAACTCTCTCAGAACCAGCTAAGTCCATTAAGTTAAGGTAGCTTATATGTACAGGTCCATCTTTCTGATTGGCATCTTTCGACTCCAGAATAATCCGGAAAATCGTGTGTGATCGAGATGACCTCTCATTCATGCGAGTAGCTGCAACTCGTCTGATCTTATTGCCCTGCATCATGTTCTCCATAACTTTATCAACATTGTCTACGACAGGTTCTCTTGCATCAAGCAGCACATTTCCTTTGATATCTTCTCTTATAGTTAAACCCTGATTGCTCTTATCCAGGAGGTCATTGATCTTTTCATTGTAGATTTCAATATAACTGCATCTAATCAAGTACCTCTTATCAACCTGGTCTGCCACATGCTGGAACAACTGATTGGATACTAATTGGAAAAGCCCAGGATCTGTTTCATTGCCCAAAATGGTGTGTGTTTTGCCAGAAGATGTTTGGCCATATGCAAATATTGTTGCATTGAAACCTTCCATGAAGGAATCGACTAAAGGTTTTACTACAGATCCATATACATCTGAATTTGTACATTCCTAGTTAAATACATGGTCGAATATATAAACCTCTCCATGGCGACTACTTTCATCGGCTTCCCATATGCAGTTTGCTCTTACGTTCCAAAGACGCTCTAGACCATCGGCTACTTCGGGGTGGATCATTGGTCTGATCTTTATGGCTACTTTAATATTGTCGGAAGTCATTTTGGAAGCTTGAACTGAAATTTAATTAGAACTAGGGCTATTTCACGGGTTATAAAGAGGGGCAGATGTATCAGGTTGATACATTCTTTTTTTCCTCCTTTCCAGTATAGAAGATTTTTTTCTCTTGTAGGCTATGAATGCGGTCCGATAATTTAGTAGAGCTACATTTACAGGGTGACTCAAAATCAAAGAAGAAACAGAATTGTTAAATTTTATGTAGACTGTTATTGTTATTACAAAAAGAAGTTGAAGCAGCAGCAAATTCTCACAAATCTATAGATCCATCACTTTCAGCACCCGATTTTTCAACTTGAAAAATGCAGCTCGGTGAAGAATCACAAGGTAACTGTTGTCTATTCAGACAATACTCTTCTAAAAGCAACGCGAAGTTACCTAGTGCCTTACATGAATCGCCTTCATAATTCTTCATTATTGTCAATGGAAAACTGAAATTGTTGATTATTACAGTTTTTAATGCTGCAAATAAGCAGATGGGGTTCGTGTTGGAAATCCCACGTCTAATCTCGCAAAACAGGTTATCCACCGGATCTTACTATCAACTTCTGAAATGCCATTACTGTTTTTAGCCATGTGTACAACAGGTTTGTACGCATAAAACACTCTTACATGAAAACTGTTTATTGTCTAAAAACGAAAATACCCCATTTGAAGATGAGTAATGCAACAAATATAATTTACGAAACTTGAACTGTAATATGAACATAAAAAAACTAACAAAATGGGCCATTTAACAACATATTTGGTGTTGATATTCTACAACAAAAACAAATACTTTCTCGTATAAGGAAACGTACAATAATTCACATTTATCACTTTTCACGAAACAATGTAGCTGCTCTGTGACTTTGCATACTTATTACAGATTGTAGAACATTTTTTTCATTGTGTATTGTCATGTAACACCTACGTCGTTTTTTCCCTTTATCAACTGCATCAGGATCGAGAACTCTGGGCTGAGAAGTAGACGGCTTACTTTATTCGTCGTTGGTAATTTTGGATTCTTTGCATGGCTGAACGAAGCTCCCTAGGAAGTCTTGGATCTGATAAACGTCCTCTCATACGAAGTTAAATTAGAGTTTGCCTCAGGAGAACAATAAAATTTCGTCGCCTAATAGAACTTTCAGTCCCAGACTGAAAAAAAAAGGAATTTACAGAAGCTGGTTGGATACCAAATAGCACAAGGCAATCTTCTCGTGCTCTAACCAGTATTGTAATTTACACACTTCCGATCTAATGCATTACCCCCCGCCTTCATAGTGTTATAAAAATAATATAGAATCTTATCAGGTTTCTTTGATTCCTCTACTATTTTGTTATCATGCTGCATAGATTGCTATACGAGAACATGTGTATTTGGTTTTGGAAGATACTACACTAAGGCTGTAGTGCTAGTGAACGTAAACTTAGAATTACCTGGCTGTGTTTCCTTCTTATTTGGAACTACATGTTGGGGTACTTGTTACTTATCTTTACGCTTCCTGCCGACGTTGGTCAGTTGGTTGATGCGCAATTCTACACGTAATTCTACTGGTGTGATATTTCTGTTCGTATAGACGAAAGCATTGAGCAGGTAGTGGTGAGTCTTTGCATCATCAGTCCATACTTATTCGGTTTAGTTTTCTTGTAGGCACAGGAAGGACATCGGCCCACGAGCATCTCGTATTTTGTAGGGGACTCACCCGAAAAATAAAAATTTCGACAGTTCTCTATGAGTGTCTCGAAAATTTCACGTATTTGGAGAAATTTATCTGCATTTCTCGAGTCACAGGGTTATTATTTTCCAAATTGGTTGCCACGGACTTTAGTTCAGGTAAATGCGTAATAATATTGTCGTCTGGATCGACCAGTTGCAGGCGCTCGTTTTGACCAATTGTACATGTTTTTTCCATAAGCATAGCGAGGTCGTCCATAGGAAGTTGTTCAGGTTGATCGCTAACAGCGTCGTCCTCGGCGTAGTCTATGGTGTATTGTTCATCCGTCAACAACGAAAAAATCCATTGTGAAGGAAGTTCAAATCGTACACGCAGCTGACATCCTCGGATCAAATTTGACCGCAAAGTCAACAAACCAACACTTGTGATGTTTAAATTAAACTGTGGTTTGAGGTATACGTGCTTATACCGTATGAGAAGTCACGGGAGCCCCACCACATAACTGAGAAAGCTCGAATCATCCGACGATACCATTAAAGGATTAATTTCTATATTCTTAAACGAATCTATAAAATCAAAGTGGCTGGGTTTCAATTTACATAGCTCTTTGTATGGTCTTGTTTGTTGATCAACATTATATGCTTTCTAGACATGTTCAAGCTGTGCAGCTTCTTCACTTTCATATTAATGTCAATAAGAGCATTTCATCCATTTTTGAATAAATGTGGTTCATCACAAATTGTAGAAATACTCTGAGCATTGACTATAAAATGGAATGGACTTGATCCGTGAGTATTCTCCGAGCAAATCGTCTCAAGTGCGTTTTTGATCGTTGCGCCCCGATTACAAATAGTGCCAACGACGCACAAACCAAGTCGCTGCAAGTTTGTGATCACATGAACAATAATCGTTTTCAGATCTGGGATTCTTTTATCTTTTACTAGATAATAAGCCACAACCTGCTTATAATTTTACGAATCCCTCTTATCATGGAAGTAAGGGCATGATTTCTGATAAATCACTTTTACAGAGTTCTAGTTGATTTTGTTACCTCAGAATTCAAGATTTATTAGCTGAAAATTGTACACTGTGAGCGGTTACCAAGACTAGATTCACAATCTTAAGTCCTAGGTGCTATCGTGGTGCGTGGGATCAGCCCTAAACTTTGTCCAAACCCTGCAATAATCGTAAACACTAAACAAGGGTAGACATATTTCTAGTTTAACTGCCTGAAGATTTTCTCTATGGTTTATACGTAACCCTCCATCTATTATCTCATTTTTGTACATGTTCTGGGAGAACTCAACTTGCTCCCTATAAAATGCAACGTCTTCCTGCACAGCTGGTTCTGGTTAAGTGCCAGCCTGCTTCGGGTTTGTAATTAGTTGTTGCAATTTACCGATTTCGTCGTCATTTTTCATAATCCAGATTTCGTTTTGGCATTCCAGTTCAGCCATTTGATCCTGAAGCTCTTTTATAGTAGAATCATTATGGCATCGTATATCTGAGATTTTAAATGAGTGGTTGACCTCACGTTGGTTACTCTCGTCCATCAGACTCTTTACGTCATTTCTCAGTTTAGATTCAAGTTCTTTTAGGAAGCCAATTTCATCTTGCAGTTCAGCAATGTGTGACATCGTTACATCAGTTTGTGTAGCAGCACTTAAAGAAACTTGCATATCTTCGTACTCAGCGTCAAGCATAGCTTCTAAGTCTGCAACCTTCTTTTTTGACTCAATATTTTGAGCTTCAAGAGATAGTTTAGGGCTCTCTGATCTTCCTAGGTTCTTCAGTTGAGTACGCAGCATCTCTATTTCTGACTCGTATGTTTTTAGTCTTTTTATAATGTTTTTCCAGAAAATCGAGTCTGTATTGCAAGTCGATGAAATTCTTGCGCTTTTTGAGAATTTTTTTGAACCCTTTCTATTTCTTCATTGTACGCATCCGTTACTTGGCGGAGTTCCTGACTGTAACGATCGATTTTAGAATTGGCTTCTGTGAGCTGTTTCTTCAGGTCCAAAATCTCCAGCTGATTATCTAGTTTAGTGAATTCTCTGAGCTCATTGAAAGATTCTTCCAGTTCTTTGAGTTGTCTTTTAAGTACACTTGCAGGCACGTCTTCAGTTATCACAGATTCTGCTTCGGCTAGTGCCTCCTCATATGTCTCTTCTTGAATAGGCCTCATTTCACGTCCGGATGATTCTTCTTCGGGTGGATAATTTTTCAATGGCATATACCGTAGGGATGCTTTTTTAGGTGATACGTTGCCATAGTCTCCAAAAGTATGACGTCTTAATGTTTTTTTCGGTGTTGATGCCGAGGCTCCCATTTGGAAGCGCCCGACAATAGATACTTCCGTTTTTAGTCTTTCTATCTCGAGCAGATACTCTTGTTTGCTTTTCTCCATCTCTTCTAGCTTAATTGCCTGCTTTTTGAGCCGAGTTTCGAGATCGCGAGTCAAGTTCTGATATCCTTGAAGTGCCTCTTCTGTAGCTGACAAGATGTTTGCTTTCGGTTTATTTTTGACAGTGTTAGTGCTTTGGGCGAATTCTAGTGTAGATCTAGTCTCCTCCTCTGCAGCTAAAGTAACATTCCCGATAATCAATGATTTGGCATTACCGCCAAGAGCCTGTGAGAGCAGTCTAGTCAATTTCGAATCGCGATAACTGATAAACTCCTTCCCCTCGCTTAGTTGCCTTATCACATTTCCTAATACTGACAAAGATTTGTTTATGTTAGCCCCCTCTTTAAGACGCTCACCAGCAGCTTTCGTCAGAGAAACTCTCTCAGAACCAGCTAAGTCCATTAAGTTAAGGTAGCTTATATGTACAGGTCCATCTTTCTGATTGGCATCTTTCGACTCCAGAATAATCCGGAAAATCGTGTGTGATCGAGATGACCTCTCATTCATGCGAGTAGCTGCAACTCGTCTGATCTTATTGCCCTGCATCATGTTCTCCATAACTTTATCAACATTGTCTACGACAGCTTCCCTTGCATCAAGCAGCACATTTCCTTTGATATCTTCTCTTATAGTTAAACCCTGATTGCTCTTATCCAGGACGTCATTGATCTTTTCATTGTAGATTTCAATATAACTGCATCTAATCAAGTACCTCTTATCAACCTGGTCTGCCACATGCTGGAATAACTGATTGGATACTAATTGGAAAAGCCCAGGATCTGTTTTATTGCCCAAAATGGTGTGTGTTTTGCCAGAAGATGTTTGGCCATATGCAAATATTGTGGCATTGAAACCTTCCATGAAGGAATCGACTAAAGGTTTTACTACAGATCCATATACATCTGAATTTGTACATTCCTGCTTAAATACATGGTCGAATATATAAACCTCTCCATGGCGACTACTTTCATCGGCTTCCCATATGCAGTTTACTCTTACGTTCCAAAGACGCTCTAGACCATCGGCTACTTCGCGGTGGATCATTGGTCTGATCTTTGTGGCTACTTTAATATTGTCGGAAGTCATTTTGGAAGCTTGATCTGAAATTTAATTAGAACTAGGGCTATTTCACGGGTTATAAAGAGGGGCACTTTTCATAATCCAGATTTCGTTTTGGCATTCCAGTTCAGCCATTTGATCCTGAAGCTCTTTTATAGTAGAATCATTATGGCATCGTATATCTGAGATTTTAAATGAGTGGTTGACCTCACGTTGGTTACTCTCGTCCATCAGACTCTTTACGTCATTTCTCAGTTTAGATTCAAGTTCTTTTAGGAAGCCAATTTCATCTTGCAGTTCAGCAATGTGTGACATCGTCACATCAGTTTGTGCAGCAGCACTTAAAGAATGTTGCATATCTTCGTACTCAGCGTCAAGCATAGCTTCTAAGTCTGCAACCTTCTTTTTTGACTCAATATTTTGAGCTTCAAGAGATGGTTTAGGGCTCTCTGATCTTCCTAGGTTCTTCAGTTGAGTACGCAGCATCTCTATTTCTGACTCGTATGTTTTTAGTCTTTTTATTATTTTTTTCCAGAAAATCGAGTCTGTATTGCAAGTCGATGAAATTCTTGCGCTTTTTGAGAATTTTTTTGAACTCTTTCTATTTCTTCGTTGTACGCATCCGTTACTTGGCGGAGTTCCTGACTGTAACGATCGAATTTAGAATTGGCTTCTGTGAGCTGTTTCTTCAGGTCCAAAATCTCCAGCTGATTATCTAGTTTAGTGAATTCTCTAAGCTCATTGAAAGATTCTTCCAGTTCTTTGAGTTGTCTTTTAAGTACACTTGCACGTCTTCAGCTATCACAGATTCTGCTTCGGCTAGTGCCTCCTCATATGTCTCTTCTTGAATAGGCCTCATTTCACGTCCGGATGATTCTTCTTTGGGTGGATAATTTTTCAATGGCATATACCCTAGGGATGCTTTTTTAGGTGATACGTTGCCATAGTGTCCAAAAGTATGACGTCTTAATGTTTTTTTCGGTGTTGATGCCGAGGCTCCCATTTGAAAGCGCCCGACAATAGATACTTCCGTTTTTAGTCTTTCTATCTCGAGCAGATACTCTTGTTTGCTTTTATCCATCTCTTTTAGCTTAATTGCCTGCTTTTTGAGCCGAGTTTCGAGATCGCGAGTCAAGTTCTGATATCCTTGAAGTGTCTCTTCTGTAGCTGACAAGATGTTTACTTTCGTTTTATTTTTGACAGTTTTAGTGCTTTGGGCGAATTCTGGTGTAGATCTAGTCTCCTCCTCTGCAGCTAAAGTAACATTCCCGATAATCAATGATTTGGCATTACCGCCAAGAGCCTGTGAGAGCAGTCTAGTCAATTTCGAATCGCGATAACTGATAAACTCCTTCCCCTCGCTTAGTTGCCTTATCACATTTCCTAATACTGACAAAGATTTGTTTATGTTAGCCCCCTCTTTAAGACGCTCACCAGCAGCTTTCGTCAGAGAAACTCTCTCAGAACCAGCTAAGTCCATTAAGTTAAGGTAGCTTATATGTACAGGTCCATCTTTCTGATTGGCATCTTTCGACTCCAGAATAATCCGGAAAATCGTGTGTGATCGAGATGACCTCTCATTCATGCGAGTAGCTGCAACTCGTCTGATCTTATTGCCCTGCATCATGTTCTCCATAACTTTATCAACATTGTCTACGACAGCTTCCCTTGCATCAAGCAGCACATTTCCTTTGATATCTTCTCTTATAGTTAAACCCTGATTGCTCTTATCCAGGAGGTCATTGATCTTTTCATTGTAGATTTCAATATAACTGCATCTAATCAAGTACCTCTTATCAACCTGGTCTGCCACATGCTGGAATAACTGATTGGATACTAATTGGAAAAGCCCAGGATCTGTTTTATTGCCCAAAATGGTGTGTGTTTTGCCAGAAGATGTTTGGCCATATGCAAATATTGTGGCATTGAAACCTTCCATGAAGGAATCGACTAAAGGTTTTACTACAGATCCATATACATCTGAATTTGTACATTCCTGCTTAAATACATGGTCGAATATATAAACCTCTCCATGGCGACTACTTTCATCGGCTTCCCATATGCAGTTTACTCTTACGTTCCAAAGACGCTCTAGACCATCGGCTACTTCGCGGTGGATCATTGGTCTGATCTTTGTGGCTACTTTAATATTGTCGGAAGTCATTTTGGAAGCTTGAACTGAAATTTAATTAGAACTAGGGCTATTTCACGGGTTATAAAGAGGGGCACTTTTCATAATCCAGATTTCGTTTTGGCATTCCAGTTCAGCCATTTGATCCTGAAGCTCTTTTATAGTAGAATCATTATGGCATCGTATATCTGAGATTTTAAATGAGTGGTTGACCTCACGTTGGTTACTCTCGTCCATCAGACTCTTTACGTCATTTCTCAGTTTAGATTCAAGTTCTTTTAGGAAGCCAATTTCATCTTGCAGTTCAGCAATGTGTGACATCGTTACATCAGTTTGTGTAGCAGCACTTAAAGAATCTTGCATATCTTCGTACTCAGCGTCAAGCATAGCTTCTAAGTCTGCAACCTTCTTTTTTGACTCAATATTTTGAGCTTCAAGAGATGGTTTAGGGCTCTCTGATCTTCCTAGGTTCTTCAGTTGAGTACGCAGCATCTCTATTTCTGACTCGTATGTTTTTAGTCTTTTTATTATTTTTTTCCAGAAAATCGAGTCTGTATTGCAAGTCGATGAAATTCTTGCGCTTTTTGAGAATTTTTTTGACTCTTTCTATTTCTTCGTTGTACGCATCCGTTACTTGGCGGAGTTCCTGACTGTAACGATCGATTTAGAATTGGCTTCTGTGAGCTGTTTCTTCAGGTCCAAAATCTCCAGCTGATTATCTAGTTTAGTGAATTCTCTAAGCTCATTGAAAGATTCTTCCAGTTCTTTGCGTTGTCTTTTAAGTACACTTGCACGTCTTCAGCTATCACAGATTCTGCTTCGGCTAGTGCCTCCTCATATGTCTCTTCTTGAATAGGCCTCATTTCACGTCCGGATGATTCTTCTTTGGGTGGATAATTTTTCAATGGCATATACCCTAGGGATGCTTTTTTAGGTGATACGTTGCCATAGTGTCCAAAAGTATGACGTCTTAATGTTTTTTTCGGTGTTGATGCCGAGGCTCCCATTTGAAAGCGCCCGACAATAGATACTTCCGTTTTTAGTCTTTCTATCTCGAGCAGATACTCTTGTTTGCTTTTATCCATCTCTTTAGCTTAATTGCCTGCTTTTTGAGCCGAGTTTCGAGATCGCGAGTCAAGTTCTGATATCCTTGAAGTGTCTCTTCTGTAGCTGACAAGATGTTTACTTTCGTTTTATTTTTGACAGTTTTAGTGCTTTGGGCGAATTCTGGTGTAGATCTAGTCTCCTCCTCTGCAGCTAAAGTAACATTCCCGATAATCAATGATTTGGCATTACCGCCAAGAGCCTGTGAGAGCAGTCTAGTCAATTTCGAATCGCGATAACTGATAAACTCCTTCCCCTCGCTTAGTTGCCTTATCACATTTCCTAATACTGACAAAGATTTGTTTATGTTAGCCCCCTCTTTAAGACGCTCACCAGCAGCTTTCGTCAGAGAAACTCTCTCAGAACCAGCTAAGTCCATTAAGTTAAGGTAGCTTATATGTACAGGTCCATCTTTCTGATTGGCATCTTTCGACTCCAGAATAATCCGGAAAATCGTGTGTGATCGAGATGACCTCTCATTCATGCGAGTAGCTGCAACTCGTCTGATCTTATTGCCCTGCATCATGTTCTCCATAACTTTATCAACATTGTCTACGACAGCTTCCCTTGCATCAAGCAGCACATTTCCTTTGATATCTTCTCATAGTTAAACCCTGATTGCTCTTATCCAGGAGGTCATTGATCTTTTCATTGTAGATTTCAATATAACTGCATCTAATCAAGTACCTCTTATCAACCTGGTCTGCCACATGCTGGAATAACTGATTGGATACTAATTGGAAAAGCCCAGGATCTGTTTTATTGCCCAAAATGGTGTGTGTTTTGCCAGAAGATGTTTGGCCATATGCAAATATTGTGGCATTGAAACCTTCCATGAAGGAATCGACTAAAGGTTTTACTACAGATCCATATACATCTGAATTTGTACATTCCTGATTAAATACATGGTCGAATATATAAACCTCTCCATGGCGACTACTTTCATCGGCTTCCCATATGCATGTTTACTCTTACGTTCCAAAGACGCTCTAGACCATCGGCTACTTCGCGGTGGATCATTGGTCTGATCTTTGTGGCTACTTTAATATTGTTGGAAGTCATTTTGGAAGCTTGAACTGAAATTTAATTAGAACTAGGGCTATTTCACGGGTTATAAAGAGGGGCAGATGTATCAGGTTGATACATTCTTTTTTTCCTCCTTTCCAGTATAGAAGATTTTTTTCTCTTGTAGGCTATGAATGCGGTCCGATAGTTTAGTAGAGCTACATTTACAGGGTGACTCAAAATCAAAGAAGAAACAGAATTGTTAAATTTCATATAGACTGTTATTGTTATTACAAAAAGAAGTTGAAGCAGCAGCAAATTCTCACAAATCTATAGATCCATCACTTTCAGCACCCGATTTTTCAACTTGAAAAATGCAGCTCGGTGAAGAATCACAAGGTAACTGTTGTCTATTCAGACAATACTCTTCTAAAAGCAACGCGAAGTTACCTAGTGCCTTACATGAATCGCCTTCATAATTCTTCATTATTGTCAATGGAAAACTGAAATTGTTGATTATTACAGTTTTTAATGCTTCAAATAAACAGATGGTGTTCGTGTTGGAAATCCCACGTCTAATCTCGCAAACAGGTTATCCACCGGATCTTACTATCAACATCTGAAATGCCATTACTGTTTTTAGCCATGTGTACAACAGGTTTGTACGCATAAGACACTCTTACATGAAAACTGTTTATTGTCTAAAAACGAAAATACCCCATTGAAGATGAGTAATGCAATAAATATAATCCTCGAAACTTGAACTGTAATATGAACATAAAAAAACTAACAAAATGGGCCATTTAACAACATATTTGGTGTTGATATTCTACAACAAAAACAAATACTTTCTCGTATAAGGAAACATACAATAATTAACATTATCACTTTTCACGAAACAATGTAAGTGCGCTGTGACTTTACATACTTATTACAGATTGTAGAACATTTTTTTCATTGTGTATTGTCATGTAACACCTACGTCGTTTTTTTTCTTTAACAACTGCATCAGGATCGAGAACTCTGGGCTGAGAAGTAGACGGCTTACTTTATTCGTCGTTGGTAATTTAGGATTCTTTGCATGGCTGAACGAAGCTCCCTAGGAAGTCTTGGATCTGATAAACGTCCTCTCATACGAAGTTAAATTAGAGTTTGCCTCAGGGGAACAATAAAATTTCGTCGCCTAATGGAACTTTCAGTCCCAGACTGAAAAAAAAAGGAATTTACAGAAGCTGGTTGGATACCAAATAGCACAAGGCCATCTTCTCGTTCTCTAACCAGTATTGTAATTTACACACTTCCGATCTAATGCATTACCCCCCGCCTTCATAGTGTTATAAAAATAATATAGGATCTTATCAGGTTTCTTTGATTCCTCTACTATTTTGTTATCATGCTGCATAGATTGCTATACGAGAACATGTGTATTTGGTTTTGGAAGATACTACTCTAAGGCTGTACAACATAAACTTAGAAGTACCTGGCTGTGTTTCCTTCTTATTTGGAACTACATGTTGGGGTACTTGTTACTTATTTTTACGCTTCCTGCCGACATAGGTCAGTTGGTTGATGCGCAATTCTACATGTAATTCTACTGACGTGAACCAGTCATCTGCTGTGATATTTCTGTTCGTATAGACGAAAGCATTGAGCAGGTAGTGGTGAGTCTTTGCATCATCAGTCCATACTTATTCGGTTTAGTTTTCTTGTAGGCACAGGAAGGACATCGGCCCACGAGCATCTCGTATTTTGTAGGGGACTCACCCGAAATATAACAATTTCGACAGTTCTCTATGAGTGTCTCGAAAATTTCACGTATTTGGAGAAATTTATCGGCATTTCTCGAGTCACAGGGTTATTATTTTCCAAATTGGTTGCCACGGACTTTAGTTCAGGTAAATGCGTAATAATCGACCAGTTGCAGGCGCTCGTTTTGACCAATTGTACATGTTTTTTCCATAGGCATAGCGAGGTCGCCCATAGGAAGTTGTTCAGGTTGATCGATAGCAGCGTCGTCCTCGGCGTAGTCTATAGTGTATTGTTCATCCGTCAACAACGAAAAAATCCATTGTGAAGGAAGTTCAAATCGTACACGCAACTGACATCCTCGGATCAAATTTGACCGCAAAGTCAACAAACCAACAATTGTGATGTTTAAATTAAACTGTGGTTTGAGGTATACGTGCTCATACCGTATGAGAAGTCACGGGACCCCCACCACATAACTGAGAAAGCTCGAATCATCCGACGATATCATTAAAGGATTAATTTCTATATTCTTGAACGAATCTACATAGCTCTTTGTATGGTCTTGTTTGCTGATCAACATTATATGATTTCTAGACATGTTCAATCTGTGCAGCTTCTTCACTTTCATATTAATGTCAATAAGAGCATTTCATCCATTTTTGAATAAATGTGGTTCATCACAAATTGTAGAAATACTCTGAGCATTGACTATAAAATGGAATGGACTTGATCCGTGAGTATTCACCGAGCAAATCGTCTCAAGTGCGTTTTGATCGTTGCGCCCTGATTAGAAATAGTGCCAACAACGCACAAACCAAGTCGCTGCTAGTTTGTGATCACATGAACAATAATCGTTTTCAGATCTGGGATTCTTGTATCTTTTACTAGATAATAAGCCACAACCTGCTTATAATTTTTACGAATCCCTCTTATCATGGAAGTAAGGGCATGATTTCTGATAAATCACTTTTTCAGAGTTCTAGTTGATTTTGTTACCTCAGAATTCAAGATTATTAGCTGAAATTGTACACTGTGAGCACTGGGATCAGCCCTAAACTTGTCCAAACCCTGCAATAATCGTAAACACTAAACAAGGGTAGACATATTTCTAGTTTAACTGCCTGAAGATTTTCTCTATGGTTTATACGTAACTCTCCACCTATTATCTCATTTTTGTACATGTTCTGGAGAGAACTCAACTTGCTCCCTATAAAATGCAACGTCTTCCTGCACAGGTGGTTCTGGTTAAGCGCCAGCCTGCTTCGGGTTTGTAATTAGTGTTTGCAATTTTCTGATTTCGTCGTCCTTTTTCATAATCCAGATTTCGTTTTGGCATTCCAGTTCAGCCATTTGATCCTGAAGCTCTTTTATAGTAGAATCATTATGGCATCGTATATCTGAGATTTTAAATGAGTGGTTGACCTCACGTTGTTACTCTCGTCATCAGACTCTTTACGTCATTTCTCAGTTAGATTCAAGTTCTTTTAGGAAGCCAATTTCATCTTGCAGTTCAGCAATGTGTGACATCGTTACATCAGTTTGTTGCAGCAGCACTTAAGAATGTTACATATCTTCGTACTCAGTGTCAAGCATAGCTTCTAAGTCTGCAGCCTTCTTTTTGACTCAATATTTTGAGCTCAAGAGATGGTTTAGGGCTCTCTGATCTTCCTAGGTTCTCAGTTGAGTACGCAGCATCTCTATTTCTGACTCGTATGTTTTTAGTCTTTTTATTATTTTTTTCCAGAAAATCGAGTCTGTATTGCAAGTCGATGAAATTCTTGCGCTTTTTGAGAATTTTTTTGAACTCTTTCTATTTCTTCGTTGTACGCATCCGTTACTTGGCGGAGTTCCTGACTGTAACGATCGAATTTAGAATTGGCTTCTGTGAGCTGTTTCTTCAGGTCCAAAATCTCCAGCTGATTATCTAGTTTAGTGAATTCTCTAAGCTCATTGAAAGATTCTTCCAGTTCTTTGAGTTGTCTTTTAAGTACACTTGCACGTCTTCAGCTATCACAGATTCTGCTTCGGCTAGTGCCTCCTCATATGTCTCTTCTTGAATAGGCCTCATTTCACGTCCGGATGATTCTTCTTTGGGTGGATAATTTTTCAATGGCATATACCCTAGGGATGCTTTTTTAGGTGATACGTTGCCATAGTGTCCAAAAGTATGACGTCTTAATGTTTTTTTCGGTGTTGATGCCGAGGCTCCCATTTGAAAGCGCCCGACAATAGATACTTCCGTTTTTAGTCTTTCTATCTCGAGCAGATACTCTTGTTTGCTTTTATCCATCTCTTTTAGCTTAATTGCCTGCTTTTTGAGCCGAGTTTCGAGATCGCGAGTCAAGTTCTGATATCCTTGAAGTGTCTCTTCTGTAGCTGACAAGATGTTTACTTTCGTTTTATTTTTGACAGTTTTAGTGCTTTGGGCGAATTCTGGTGTAGATCTAGTCTCCTCCTCTGCAGCTAAAGTAACATTCCCGATAATCAATGATTTGGCATTACCGCCAAGAGCCTGTGAGAGCAGTCTAGTCAATTTCGAATCGCGATAACTGATAAACTCCTTCCCCTCGCTTAGTTGCCTTATCACATTTCCTAATACTGACAAAGATTTGTTTATGTTAGCCCCCTCTTTAAGACGCTCACCAGCAGCTTTCGTCAGAGAAACTCTCTCAGAACCAGCTAAGTCCATTAAGTTAAGGTAGCTTATATGTACAGGTCCATCTTTCTGATTGGCATCTTTCGACTCCAGAATAATCCGGAAAATCGTGTGTGATCGAGATG